GGGAGGAGCGGGACGGGAGGAGCGGCCGGCACGGGGCAGCGAGGAGCGGGAGGAGCGGGACGGGAGGAGCGGCCGCCCCTCCTCGCCCCGGGGCGCGGCTGCCGTGCGGCCTCACCGAGGTGTCCAGGCCGGGGGCAGCGGGGGCGGCCGAGGAGCCGCAGGATGCGGCGGGCGGGGTCCGGCCCGAGCGCGGCTCGCCCGGCCGGGCTCTGAGCCCGCCGCGTTTTTCCACCCAGGAGAGCGTGAAAGCAGAGAACGAGCACATCAACCTGAAAGTTTCCGGGCAGGACGGCTCCGTGGTGCATTTCAGAATAAAGCGGCACACTCCGCTGAGCAAGCTCATGAAGGCGTACTGCTGCCGGCAGGTAGGCGCGGGCACGGCCCGGGGCTCCTGAGGCCCCGGGGGGCTCCTGCCACGGACCCAAAGCATCCCCGTGCTGGTGAAACCCTCGCTGCTTCTCTGCCTGGATCGTGGAACATGCTTGTGGGCAGGCTGAGGATATCCAGGTGTGGGAGATTGAGGAGCTGGGATGCTGGCAGCTTCTCGGTGCAGAGCTCTTATCGAATGGAAGCTGCCTCTTCGTCCTCAGGTGCTCCCCAATACCCTGTGACAGAGTTACGAAAATTCCTCCATTTCCGATCTTTTCTCTGAGACAATGCACTAACCCTCAGTCCTGTCACCTCCAAAAGCTTCATCAATTTTGACTTAATTTTCAGTTTGGAAAATGGCACAAAATAAATTCTTCTATGCCACAGCTTCCTCATGGGTTTTTTCCTCCTCCCTCCTTCCCCTGTGAATCCTGCTGCCTATTGCACAGTTGTGATCTGTGTTCCACAGGTGTCACAGGCTGTTCCTCAGTGCCATCCTGAACAGAACAGAAGGATGAATCCCCACAGCTCAGTTCCTGAGCCTGGAGCTCCCAGTTTTACACAGAGCAGAGGGTGGGCATGTGAATGGCTTTGGAAATGGAGTCAGATTTTGTTTGCCCTTATCTGTTACTTGCAGGATCCTTTCTTTGCTTATTCAATCTTTACACTCTGACCTGTTCTGTGCCTGCTGCACCCTGACACATCTCTGGGTTTTTGGAGAGGTACAGGGAGTTTTAGCATTCCTGTGTGTGACAGAAGTGTGAATCACATGGATTTTAGAGGGCAGAGCAATGTCCTCAATCCCTGATGCAGGGAGTAAGGCCTTCCTCATGTGATTAAACTTTGTCAGAACAGGATTCAGTAGTATGGTAACTCAGGTTTTAAGCGTAAAGTTACCAGCATTTGACCTTCCTCAGTGTAGACAGCAAGACAAATATGCTTAAGTGTCCTGGTGGTTAAATCTTAAATCAGAGAATCACGGAATGGTTTGGACTTAAAAGGGAATTTCAAGTTCATCCAGTCCTACCCCCTGCCATGGGGACACCTTCCACTATCCCAGGTTGCCTCAAGCCCCATCCAGCCTGGCCTTGGACACTTGCAGGGATGGGGCAGCCACAGCTTCTCTGGGCTGCCTGTGCCAGGGCCTCAGCACCCTCACAGGGGATAATTTCTTCCTAATACCTAATCTAAATCTATTTTGTGTCATCCCCCTTGTTTTTTGAGTGCTAATTTTGTTACCATGTGTTCTGACAGTAAATCCATTAGTTTGGATTCAGAAACACCAGTGTGGTTTCTCGTATGTGACTGAACTTGCAGGGCTTGTCAGGGAAGCACATTACGTTCCTGTTTGATGGACAGCCAATTAGAGAAGAAGACACACCTGCAGAGGTATGAAAAACACTCTTTCTGCAAATTGCTACACAGATATTCGGATGTCTGAGTGGTGATCAAAGGGGCTTGAAATCAAAATGATCCTGAAATCGTTGCTGTGAGTTTAGCGTGTTCCAACAAATTTGCGCAGGGTGACTGACGGAAAGTATTTCATGTCTTAGTTAATTAAAGTTATTCCTGAAGTGCTGATTAGGAGCAGAGAGCCACGTGCTTTTGTCACCATTTTCAAGTTTTCTGTATTACTTACATTTTCTATACTTTTAAAATGTTAAAATAATTCCTGTGTTACTCCCTCAGCTGGAGATGGAACACGAGGACACGATCGAAGTGTACCACCAGCAGACAGGTGGAGGCTGCTAAGACACAGCAACTTTTGGAGAACAGTTTGAGGATACTCATCACACCTCACTCTCTTGTGTGTCCTTGGATTTGCTGTTTTATTAGGAAAGAAATGAACATGCCAGTCTCACAGGGTTCTTTGAATCTCCATAGGATATTTACCAAAGTAGCTTGTTGTCTTTGACATTCTGAGTGCACAAGTCAAAATAGTATCTGCAGGGATTGAGCTGTGTCTGAATTCAGCCATTTAAAGTTCAGATTAAGTAATGTCTGTTACTGTTGTTAGCCTTTTTAAAAAATTTATTGTTTGTGTTATCTCTTTTTCCTCTCTCTTTAAGCCTGTGGCCTAAGCATTCATCCATGTGTTGGGACACTGGTTTTTCTTTCCTGGCTCTGGTTGGTCTTGCCCCTCTGTTTTAACTGAAGTTATATAAATAGTTCAATGTATTTTCATAGCAAGTGTGAGTGTAAAAGTTTCCTTTTAAGATGTGTGTGAGAGAAGGAACACAGATACAGGTTTTAAATTTTTAGCTCGTGTTACAAATTCAGTCAGTCCCTTGGGCAGCATTGTGCCCTTGACTGGGGCTAGAACACCATACAATGCTTAGGATAGGGTTTTTACATACTTAAGGTTTACATACTTAAGGTTTACATGTGTTTTTTCATATTGTGATAAAGTAGACCAAAATACAGTTTTTTAATGCAGAAATGGGAATTTTTGTCTTGCACTATTGCAGAACTGAAGGTAGCAGGGCAGCTGGTCCAAAAACTTAATGCTTGTGATAGAGTAGCTGTGTGTTTTTTTTTGTGAAAGCTTATAAAAATCCCATCACTGAAATTCCAGCTGTTTGCCAAGGGCTGGGTGGCATCTGTTCCTTTGCCCTGCTCCCTTTGACTCTTTCTCTGTGGGCATTGGAAGTTTGCAGCCTCAGGTTTCTTTTTAATACTTCTTTTTGATAGATAAACTTTGTAAATGAAGGAGAGAAATGCCTTTTAATATCACCAAACTGTGCAGAAGAGCTAGTAAGTGAGGAGAGACATTTAGGTGTCTTCAAAATAATATTAATAAACTGTTGCCCCTCCAACCTTGCTGAGGTTTAATTATTTGTGTGGTGGTTTGGGCTCCACGAAGCCTGCTCCAGGGGAATTTTAACTCAGGCTGTCCTGCTGCTCCATGGAATCGTACCCAGCCTTTTCTCTTTCCGTTTGTTCACGTTAGCTCTGCTCCTGCTTGCTGGTATCTCGCTGGGAAGGCCCCTATCCCCTTTCCGCCGTGGTGGTGAGCTGGGGTGGGATATCCGCGGATCCGCTGCGGGATGCCCTGCCCCGCGCTCTGCGGCCGTGCCGGCAGGCGGGGATCGATCCCAAGGGCGAGCCCGGCTACCGACACGCGTTCTCCCGTGCCGGCCCGGCGCGTCCTTTCCCGGCGGGAGGACGGGCGGGCCGAGCGCCCCGCCCCGCCCGCGCACCCGGAAGCGGCGGCGGGGCCGCGCCATGGCGGGGACGGCGCTGAAGCGGCTCATGGCCGAGTACAAGCGTGAGTGCCGCTGCCCGCGGCCCGCCGGGCGGGATCGCTCCGGAGCCGGGGAGGGCGGCGGGCCGGGCGGGGCGGTGGCGGCCGCCGGCCAGGCCGGGCCGCGGGCCTCCCTCGGCGCCCCGGGAGCTGCCGGGCCCGCCGGCCGCAGGGTCCGCTCTGCGTCCGTGCAGCTCCCGGGGCGGGCTGGGGGTCACCGGGAGCGTGCCGGCCGTGAGCAGCTGTGGGGAGGGGACCCTGCCCCCTGTCCCGCCGGGACACCGAGGGGACAGCTCCGTGAGTCCCGGGCCTTAGTCAGGGGGAGGCTGGCAGCCCTGGGCTAGTGGCCAGTTACTTTGATGTTTTTCCCTGATAAATTTTCCAGCATGCAGGTATGGCAGTCTCTGTTGCAGAGCTCTGTTATTACGTCAAAGGTATTTAGAGGTGTTTGGCAGGGCAGATGCCTTCTGGTTGTGGCTGCCTCATCCTTGGAAGTGTCCAGGGCCAGGTGGGACAGGGCTTGGAGCCAGCTGGGCTAGTGGAAGGTGTCCCTGCCCATGGCAGGGGTGAAATGAGATGAACTTTAAGGTCCTTTCCAACTCGAACGATTCTGTAATTCTGTCAAGTCCTTAATGGAAGCAGAATGGCTAGTAAAAGGATTTAAACTCGAATTCAGTAATGAAAGACGTAGAGTTGTTTGTTTAAAAAGCACTGTGAGATGTGGCTGCAGAGGGTGGCAAGCAGTGATCCTCTGATCCTCACCACAGGGACCTGAGACCTGCTGCAGTGGGCTGGGGCCCTCTGGGAATCCCAGAGCTTCTGGGATGGCTCATCTGCTCCCTGATGGGTTTGAGATGTGTCCAGAGGTGCCTTTTGTTGGCAAGAAATACTTGGTTGTGTAGCTAGGTGCTTTCGGGCTTTGATGCTCTGGGGTTTGGAAGTAGAATAGAGAAAAGAGATGTTTGGTGGAGCTGGGCTGTAAGAACAGGGAAGGTCACTTATTGTGCTCCCCAGGCTGTCCAGGGGAGTTGTTTCTGTCATCATTCAGTGGGATCCTCCAGCCTGTGTGAAAGAGAGTATTTATAGGTACACATTTCCTGCCAGCACCGTGCCTGTCCCCAGGCTGCTCTGCAGAGCACAGGTCTCTAAGCTGGAGTGTCACACAGGTGTTTGGGCAGCCAGGGATCCCCACCCAGCTCAGGCTGCTGCCACGGGCAGCTGCGGGTGGTGAGTGGATAAAGTTTGTGCTGACAGTGTGTGTCCTAGAAATCTGCATTTTCTCATTGTAATCCAGAGGCAGTGACCTGAAAAACAACCACAGAAAGTCTTGGCGCTGCTTCTGTCTGCTTGTATCAATCCCCTAAGTCTCAGAAAGGTATTTATGATCTTGTGTTGTTGAGGAGCACAGAGGTCTTATTGGAGTGTCTTGTATGAAGGAAATCTTTAGGAAAAATGATATTAAATGACCTCAGGAAGATTTTGACTTAATGCCACAGGCAGACATGAGGTGAATCTTCTCTGCCTAGCTTCCCAGGGTAACACTAGTCATGAACAGAGATAATGTTTTGTCTGTGATCTGCCTTTACAAGCACTTTCCCATGCCCAATAAAACACAGTGTTGTAAAAAACGAATGTAACTGGCAGTGTCTGAGTGCACAGTGCTTTCTGGAAACCTGAGCTGTGGCAGTGCAGTAAAACAGACATTTTGTTGTCTGTGGCTCCCCTCTGCTGCATGTTTGTTATTTTTCCTTCAGCAGAAACCCCAGAATCAAGCCTGACTTACAACCTTTCCCTAGTGTTTTTCTAAAGACTGGCAGTTAATTGTAGCTCTGCAGAATCTCTTAGCCATGTAGAGAACTTCAGCTAAAATTATTATGAAAAATAAAAATAGCTCCTGGTTGTGGGTAGTTCTGCTGCCTCTTTTTGCAGAGAAGGAGCACGTCTTACCTTGGGACAGGGCTGGAGTCTGAGGTTCAGCTCAGGGTGAAGTTTCTCCCTCCTGATGATGTGTGTTGCTGGCATGGCTGTGGGTGCTGTGAGGCCCTGGGTGAATGTGGGCATGGGAATGGTTTTCAGTGACCCCCTCCTGGCTGCTCACCTTGAGAGAAATCTTGTATGTGTTACGTACAAAGTTGTGGGCACATCTTTTTTCTTTACTTTCCCTCTTCTCCTCTCCCTCTTTCCTTTGGTTACTTCTGGTAGTGACAGTGGTGTTGGCAGTCAGTGCCTTGCTGGTGGGTGTGTTTTCCTTACCAGACTTAAAATTCTTTCCATTTTTTCCTTTTTCAATTCTTGTCTTTCATCTTCTTCTGTGCATGTGTGCGCACATGTTTAAGTCTTAATTTAAAGATTTATCATTTCCTTCTGTGAAAAATTCTTGACATTGTGGGGAGTTTCTACCTGTTGGAGCCCAGATATATTACTGCATTTTGGGAGAGGCTGTGAAATGGCACTGGTTTTCTTTCCTATTGAAGAAGGAAGGGAAGATGGCTGTGGACATCCAGATGATACAGATTGGGTTTCTTGTCCTCATTTGGATCTTTGCATGTTTGATTTTTTGCTTTCTCAGATTTACTAGTTACTCTGCCAGAACTACTTTGGCTAAAGCTTAAGAAAAAAAATAATCAGATATAAAAATCTGATTAAATAAAAATGTAATCATTTTTATTAATGCATGTGCCTGTTATTAATTCTAGATGCATAATAGTATTAAAGCCTGACCTAAGTCTCTCAGTATCCTATATTTGTGAGAGATAAGAGATGGAAACCTTATTTTTCTATGTTTAGTGTTTCTTGATGGCAGATCTTGAAGATATCTTATGCTGGCTGAAATTTCAAGTGTAAAATGGGTCACTCTGGAAAAATTAAATTTCTAGAGACCTGAGAACTGTAGTGTCTGATTATATGCACTGGATTTCCTTCCTGGAACAACAGGCAACAGGGCAGTGGATTATGCCAACAGGTTTCTTTGGAAGTGCTGTCAGGTTGAAAAAAAGAGATTTATGTTAATTGTGAGCTTTGGGAAGTCACAGCATTAATAATAAACCTTCTGAACCTGGCAGGGCTTCAGTGGGTGCCTCCCATCCTTAGTGCCTAGGGAGGGTTGTGTGGAGTCAAAAGAAAACTGGCTGTTTTCAAGCATCTCAGTCCAGGTGCTGTCAGATACTGCAGTGAGCATATTCCCATAATATCTCCTGAGTCCTGGGCTTTTAATCCCCTTGCTGTCTTGCTGCAGTTTTTAGGAAACATACTGTTGAACTTCTCTTTTAAGGACAATCTTCAGTGCTTTAACAAGATGTGTTTTCAGTTCTCCCGAGAACCATCTCCAAGGTGTAATTGGCTGATAATGACTCCACAAAGAGCAGTGAAATGAAAAGGAAGGCACTGATTGTGCGTGCAGCAAATCTGCCCTGAATTCCTGATAGAAGCATCACACTTGTCTGGTGTCAGCTCTGTTTTAAGTTTACAAGCTCTGGCTCTGCTCCCAGGGAGCAAATAAAAAGTTGCACCTGGGGAGGTTTAGATTGGCTATTAGGGAAAATTTCTCCACTGAGTGGGACTCTTTGGCCTAGCTGGTCTGTCAGAGTTGCTCTGCATGTGATCAGAGCTTGGTTTTAGCCTCTCACCGATTTCTGTTGCTCACTTAAAATAATTGGACGCCCCCCTGACATTCCGTTGAAGTGACCTGGTTTGGAGGCTCTGGTGAGCTGCAGCAGCTCCTGGGGTTCATGTTCAACTGGGCTCTCAGTTCCCTTTTGAACAACTCTGGAGAAGTCACAGGGTAGGATGTCACCATCCCCCTGGAGACCTTTCTCAATGTCCAGGTGCAGCTGCTCAAAATCAAAGCTCCTGTGCCCCTGAATGCCCCGTTTCTATTTTATCTGATCCTTAAGGATGGAAGCCTTTCTCTGAGGGGGGATCTGAGCAAGGAAGTGGAGAATT